ACCGACCCACTCGTCTTTCCTCGTCACCCGACACCTGCTTAACCTGCATCCGTGAAGAGCGGGTGGGGATGAGCACAAGATGAAAATGAGTGCTCACCACTATGCACGTATAACACAATAATGAATAATGTAAAGAAGGTATGGTCGCAGCATGAACATAAATCAATTATTCTATCACATCTCCATATCACAACTCAACATATCATACTACCCATGTGCACACACCTTTCATTAGCCACGGAAAGGGGATTCATTACCCTAACTCATGGGGGTACGTGCCACGCTACGGACACGGCCTTTCATTAGGTCTTAGGGAGACATACCTCGCAAGGGTAACCGTATTACATCGATGGGGACAACCGTACCGACGGCCAAATCGGCTCACGCCGATAGGCTACATGGTTTACATGCATACTTAGATCATACCAACCCACATTAAAGTAAACACATACGGCATAGAAAATTTTATAAGTAAACCCACCTGGATTCTGGATTGATAAACAGCAAAATAGAAGAGGCGTAGGTTGAGGCTTGACTCCTTAAGCACCTACATTAAGTCAAGATCCTACAATCAACATTTATCTTGACTTAAACGGAAAACACAAATCATACTTAGTCGAACTTGATTCGACTAAGTTGTTCGTGAAGTCCTGTGGACGTTGGAACACTTAGACTCGACACTAAGACTCAACCAAATACATATGGAAGTTCACATAATCTCAATAAAAGATTGACCAAGTCAAACACACAAAAAAACAGAAAGCGAGTCGAATCACAGTTTTATTGACAAGGCTATATAATTGCAAATACTAGTTTTAAATCACCAAAAACAAGTTGATCAGGTTATCCAAAGAGTTAGGCTCTGAAATTTTAACCAAAATTTCACTTCCCAAAACGTAGCATAACCACAAATATTCAGCCCCAAAATCAAAGTATGCTATTTTATAAAATTCGAGCAAATTTATAGTAAAAACGAGCATAAATTAACAACCAGACCAAAAGAATGATTCACACTCTAAATTTTTTATACAAGGAACCTCAGCATGTGAATAGCATTGTGTAAAAATCTCAGCCTTAAACACTTAACATGCGAATTAATAAAATTGCTACAACATTTAGCAGTTTTCGCATTTTTAAATAAAACCGAAATATTTTGAACTCTAAAATTTCTAATATTTTAACACCAT